CCAGCTTGCAGGACTGGCCTAGGGTAATTTTTAGAGGGGTTTTAATTATATTTTAAATCGGACAATATTTAAATATCTATTTTAATTAATTTTAAATCTGTATTGTTATTTATGTATTTTAATTGATTGTCAGCCGCCCTGAGTCCTACGAGGAGAAGGGCGGGATATAAATCCAAATAATAAATAAATAAATAAATAAGGTTTTGCTGCTTCTTCCTCATCAAACATCTGGGGAAGGACCAAATGAATGAGGAACATTAGTCAAGAAGGTGTCTTGAGTTTAGATTTCAATCTAATGAAAGATGAATTCAACAAATGCTTATAAGCACCACTTATTAGGGGTGACCATTCTTGCATTCTCAAATTCCCAGGCTTTAGCCTGGCATACTTCTATGGAACAGCTAATAAAATAATGGGTAACTGAAAGGGACAAGGGATATCACATGCATCTTGACATTATCAGCATGAATTATATACATATTCTGTATTACAATAATATTGTATATAATTCATTTCATTTGTATGACATCATGTACACAGCATTATTTGACATTATTGTGATTTCCATTGGATACCTGTACATAATCCACTGTCATGTGGAACTTTAATGGCGATGCATAGTGGTTAATGGCTTTTAAATAATATAAAAAAATTCATTCAGCTGAATTAATTCACCTATTATTAGCTGTCAAAATTATTGCTCAAATTTATGCTAGATAAATTTGTGATTATTGTTTGGAAACAACCTGAAATTTTCAAATATTAGATATAACAATTATTTCCATTATCTTTCATTAACTCCAGTTACATTAACTCCAAAAATGTTTCCCTTTAAACATTACTCTTGTTGAGAAGGATATACTTTCCTATAAACATTCTCCAAAGCAGAAACAATCAATTGCGCTATCAATTTGTATGATAACTCCATACCCAATTTGAGGATCTAAAGAGAGATCTCTAGGAAACTTCACCCTTTTGCTCACAAGAACAGTGGGATACAAGCCATTGATTTTGGATACTTCAATCATCCTTTTTTCTGTGTCAGACCAATAGAGATTCTTTCCAACCCAGTCAACTGCTAATGCATTAGGAACAGCTGTGTTATGAACTACCTAGAGAAATGAAAACTGTATAAGTAGCAGAACATACAGAAAAAAATGGTGGAAAGTCCATTTTCATTTCCCTGAGATGAAAGTAAATAATTATACTACACTGGCAAATACAATTAATATAATTCGAAGGTTCTTAATTCTGAAAAATATTTGAAAGAAAATATATTAATTCTTATAACATACTACAATTAACCAACAACAAGAGACAGCATTATATGGTAATTTTATTCCTGTTTTACTATTTTTTTCTTTCATTAAAAGTTCCTGCAAGTTTTCTTGTCAAGATTTTTCATTACCTCCTTCTCAGGGCTGAGTGAAAATGACTGACTCAATGTCATCCAGCTGGCTTTGTGGCTCAGACAGGATAAAAGAGTCTCTTGGTTTCAGAACTTATGCCTTAACCACTACACCAATTTGGCTCATAATTACTGCACTCTAAAGATTCACTTTAGACATATTCCAATGAATTCTTTCTCTGATGTGCAGAATCCCATCCCATCTCATATTCTTTGAGGTTTCTTCACATCCAAATACACAACATAGTTACCTGCTTTTCTTCAACACACAACAGCAGTCAGCAATGATTTATGAAGTGAAAATATCAGAGATAACTATCGTAAACTTCCAAGATTTACTCTTATAAACAAGAGCAAAATGGGCTGATGCAGTGG